GTGTGTGTGTGTGTGTGTGTGTGTGTGTGTGTGTGTGTGTGTGGAATATGCAAGTGGTGGACTTCGGTCTCCTCCTGCTCCCGCTCCCAGTTCCTGTACCTCCCCCCTTCATTCCACCTGGGGAGTGACAGATTGTAGGCTGTGACAGAGAGGAGAAATGGTTCAGAGGGGAGAAGATTGAGAGGAGGAGGGGGAAAACGATTTAGCGAGTGTTATCACAAGAGAGGAGAAACGTTTGACCTCCTGCTGTGAGTAAGATTGTCTTATATTGATGGCTTCATCTCCAAGAGTCCTCCCAGGTGTTTATCTCGTCTTTACGCCACGTGTTTCAGATATAAATCTATTTATGATGATTTTTCACTCCGCAGCACTTAATTGAAGTTTATGTTGCAAAGAAAAWTTCAATCCACAAGTGCCTTTAGATTCCCCTCGTTCATAGGTTTGTCTTCTCATGTGAAAAAGAAAAGCAACAACGTCTGTGATGAGCTGAAACATTATTCCGATCTGTTGTTATTTCTATTGGCCCCAGTGCATCTGCGGAACGTAGCTTTGACCCTCCTCTCTTCACAACAGCAGAAAGTTTTCTTTTCTTTCTTTTATTTATTTATTTTTTTGCTTTGATAGATGGTGCTTTCACTGAATCCAAGTTTCTCTCTCAATCATGAACTCCAGTCAAGACACAGAGTGAAGTGCAGAAGGAAAATAAGTGAGCGGTTGACCCTTGTGCGTACAGGGGATGAATGAGACTCCCAGGTGATAGACTCTATGTGATAAACTTAGAGGCCTACAAGTGTAATTGTAGGACGCACACACACATACGACAATACGAAAAGCTTCCAGCAGGGGTCTTTTTGAACATCTCCCTCTGAAGGCATCAAACCAAAAAACTTTGATGAGGAAAGACACGTTATTTATTTATTTATTTATTTATTTATTTATTTATTTATTTATTTATTGTCATGTGCATAACTACTCTGCAATGTCACTGCCTCAGCAGATAAACTAAAAGTGATCATGAATACAAAACCAAAACAAAAGCCTACATTACTCCCTTACTGACTAATATCTTTTGGATGATTGCAGATTGTCACACAGTTCATTACCTTTGCTCATKTTTCTTTTCTTTCCTTTTTTTCTGTTCTGCAGAGTCGACTGTGTTCTTCCCTGAACAGATCCACTCCGTCCAGGAAGATGTTGGGGAGCTTTTCATCCCGGTCCACCGCAGCGGAGACATGAGTGAGGAGCTCATGGTGGTCTGCCACACACAGCAGGGTATAAATCTGCCTCTTTCTTCCTGTTCTGCCACATCACTGGTCCGAATGATCACACCAGATGGTAAAAGTCATGTTATACGACTCAACGGATCAGCTTCAAAGCTGTATTTAAATTATGGATGAAAAAATCTTAAGTATAGATTTCTAAAAAATCTGAAATTGTAATCTCATGTACCTTAGGGATGTTTTAAAACTGGTATCTATAATAAAGGAAATCCCCAATTTTTGAGGGGTTACATGCAAACCATAAATAAATGTGAATTTTGGTTGCAGTCCAGATAAGACCTACAGCACATTTGGATGGCATCTTAATTAGGGGTGTAAGAAAATATTGATACAATGAAATATCGCGATATTTCATTTCCTGATACTGTATCGATATTCTAAGCCCTGTATCGATTTTTAATTAAGGTTTAAAATGTCAACCTTCTTACCAACCATTCAATTTTATGTTGTASTTCAGCCTCTGACCACTAGTTGGCAGCAGTGAGCCAGCTATTTGGCTCCTCTACCTCTTGAGAGCCAGAGAGTAAGGGTAGCATTAGCATTGTAAGTAAACATTAGCTTTTCTTTTTTTTCATTAATAGGTTTTTATTTAATAGGAGTTTTGGACAAAAAATCGCAATATATCGCAATATATTGCCTTGTTTACAGTATCGCAATATATCGGGATATATCGTATCGTGACCCCTCTGATATGATATGTATCGTATCGCCAAATTCTTGCCAATACACAGCCCTAATCTTAATGTGACAATTACCAAACAAAGCACACAAAAGCTAAACAGTTGGCAGCTACACGCAGGCAGTACTGTTAGAAGGCAGAAATGCTGGGCACAGGACATGTGCCACATACTGTACTGTAGTTTTTGTACATGGAACTGAATTTATGTTAATACCTATGATACAAAATTTAAAAAGTGTATTGTTCTTAAAGCTGCAGTAAGTTTTATAAAAAAAAATTTGAGTATTTGTTAAAACTGTCACTATGTCCTTACAGTAGAATATGAGAAGGATAATATGTCAAAAAATAAAGCTCCTCTGGCTCCTCCCACTACTACTACTGTCATTGCCGGTGTGCTGCAGCTGTGCTGATGGTGGAGAAAAAGCCAACATTACAGGAAAACTGCCAGTTTCTGAGAGTTCTGAATGTACCATGGCAGTGCGCTGTCATTTGTGGCTCTGTAAAGTGTGCTTGTTCAAATTTTCTGGTTAATTCCACAGTTTTCTCAGAACTCCCTACTGCAGCTTTAAACAACTCACAAAAACGCATGAGAGAAAAAAAAAAGGACATTCCTTAAAATACTGTATTTCCAGTTTCCACGATTATTGCAAACTACTAGTTGGGCCCCACTGTAATCTGTTAGGTATTTCTTAGAAGTGAAAGTTCAAAGATTTTTAGGTGGTGTTCTGAAAAAGAATTAATTGATATTTTGCTTGTTGTACGTAGACAGCTCTTTGAACAAGATTCAAGGTTTCTTATCCGAAAATAATTTTTTTAAGTTTGCCGTTTTAATTGTACCTRAAGTTCCTCAAACTTCTCCAACCTGTCTCTCCTCATCTTTGGTTACCCCCCAAAGGTTCTGCCACAGGGACGATTCCCACCATGGTTCTGTCCTACTCAGACTATATTTCACTCCCGGAGGGACACAGCAGTGTCCTTCGCTTTGACAAAGGTGAGAGGGAGAAGGTGTGTCGCGTGGTGATCATCGACGACTCCCTGTACGAGGGAGAGGAGAGCTTCAACGTGACTCTGTCCATGCCTGTTGGCGGTCGTCTGGGAAAGCATTACCCCACGACAAAAGTCAGCATCTTGGAAGATCTGGATGATGGTAARCCAAACAAATGATTGTTTTTGTTTTCTCCTGTACTTCTTGCCRTGACCTTCTCTTCTAGTTCAATTTTGAGAATGCTTAAATCTCAAAGTATAATTAAACACTTTTTTCTCCAACAGAATGCTACATAACTAAAGGCAAATCCCAGAAACACTATTAAAAGTTTTTTTTTTTTCTGACTCAGCCTGAAAGTCAAAAAAAATATTTATTTTGTCTTGGTTTATTGAAATGCACACTTACAATATAACACAGCAAATGTGTCAAATGTTGTTTGAAATGCTTGTATTTTTTCTGAAAATATCGAACTCATTAGGACAGCATWATGACACAACCTGAATGCACAAGCAGCAAACAGATGAAATCAAACTATCATCTTGCTGATTTTCTGATTGATTTAATTATAGTTTAGTCATCCAGGACAACAGTTGAACCTCATTATTCATCTCACATTTCAGAAGTCTTTCAATTCTAGCGTCTCGTGGACTAGAGAGATTTTACATTCTGATAGACGAAGATATGTGCAGATTTATCCAGGGATTAACTGGCCGCCTGGGAATACAGTATACTGTACTTGTTGCAATCCACAGGTGTTCTCTGCAATCTGTCCTTTCTTCAATGTAACACAGACAGGTTGATGTCTTTGCCTAAGGTTTTGCAAAATTTCAGTCAGGCTGAGGTCTAGACTTAAACGGATTCATTAGAACACTTTAATTTGTGTCTTTTTCAGCCATTCTGTGGTAGATTTGCTGCTGTTCCTGAAATCATTGTTCCATTTTTTTGACCCAGTTTGATCCATGCTTCAGCTGTTGAATAGATGGCCTCACATTTACCTCGAGAATACTTTGGTATACAAAGGAGTTCATGGTTAACTCTGTTGCAAGATGCCCTGGATTCTGCAAAATAAGCTCAAATCATTTCTACTCCACTGTTTTACAATATGTGTACACATATGTCATATGTAGCACTTAAAGGCAACAGATTCTCAAAAATGAATGTTTTTTTGATGTTTTAAAATAAGCTACACTACAAAGTGAGTGGCCCACATATGGCCCACTCGATGTAAATGACTTGTTTTCACTGGCTATAGTGTTCTTGATGTACAAAAGCACAACAGTGGTTTCTATTTTTGTTTCCTCCAGTAGAGACTATCCTCATTACTTGTCATGTCTTGTAGCAAGAAAAAAAGTGCCTTCTTTTAGCTGTCACATAATGTAAAATAACTATTCAGAAAAGGAAGAAAAATGTGGTTTTTTTTGGCAGCAACTGGAGGAGAGCTGTGTCTAAAGCTTTTGTTTGCTTTCATGTGTCTAAAATACTTGTGATGCTGTAGAAAATGCAAAGGGGAAAAAATTAACTCAAAAATCCCATAATCCCAGGATTTAGTTGAAACAGGATAAATATGACCAGAAGTTGAAACTGAAATAACTTTATTATTTTAAACAGCATCCCTTGAATCAGTGATGAACAGATAAAAGGGCATAAATAAGAATAAACTGAAAGAGCCAATGACTTCAAATTTATGTAATAAATATGAATGCATTTTTGGAAGGATAACATTAATAACACATTGCAAAAAATCATGCTGCTGAGATGAACAGTTAATGAGATATTTGCTTGTGAAGTAACAGGAAGTGATGTCAAAGGGGAATGTCTGCATAGGAACAGAGCATTGCTACGACAGCTAACAACACAGACTGTAGAGAATCTGATGTTTCTTTAGATTATTTAATCTAATGTAGAGATGGAGAAAAGTCAGAGTTCAAAAAAAATGTCATTTCAGCAAAGATTAGAGAGTTTTCTTTCTTAAAAAGATCCCCTTTGATATCACTTCCTGTTTCAGCAGTCCCAAAATGGCTATACCAGTCCAGATGCTTTGTTGAAAAATTAGCATGTATTGGTTAATCTTCACATTTCTAACACTCAGACTTGCTACTTGGTAGGACTTCCATGTTTCATGAAGTGTTCATACTAGAAAGAATAGTGTCAACCTGAAGACTGGGATTATTAGAAGAATAACATGCATAATTACACACTGACAGTGTGTATTTGTGCGACGATGTCTGGAGACTAGTTAACAAGAAATATTACACTCTTGGATTGTTAGTAATCTGTCACTATATTTCAGTCTCGGTGCTTCGTTCAAAGAAATGCTAATGTGTTTGTGAAAGCCTAACTCCTGTGAGAGATATGTCATTTTTAGTCTCCYGGAGGATAACGCAYCCTCTGACAGCGCTGTGAAACCTGYGCACAGGAAGTCAGACTGCAGCCTGCTTCTTCTCGTTAATAACTGCTTCAATTTGCCAAGCAAAAAATAAATTTATAAATAAACTGAAACAAATGGTACAACAGCATGTGTTTGTTTGCGTCTGCATGCACGTTTATGTGACTTTAGCTGCCCACAATAAGTTAAATTTAGATTTTAAACTCTGCATCAGAAGTAAATGGTGTGAAAAGCATGCAAAAAGCTCTCAAGTGTGACTCCTGGTGCTCTCTTTAAACTTTTTTTTTTCTTCTTCCCTGAGGTTGATGTCAACTAGAGGATTCTGTTCTGTTCCACATATTTCTCCGGTTCTGCCAACTCCTCTCCTCTCACTCCAATATTCACTTTCTCACAAAAGTTCAAGGATGTCTGTCTTTCAAACTGTAGCAGATTAAACTCTGCAGTACTTGTCTCTTTATAGGAGCTCTGCAAGAATAAAAGTGAGTGTTATCTCATTTTAGCTAGTAAAAAGAGAAGACACTAAAGACTTTTTTTTGTTTTCTTTAGATCTCATATCGCAGAAGGTAGATTTGTAGAAATCTAAAGATATTCATTGCAAACTTGAAAGAGTGAACTCCAGTATTCTACATTTATTCATATGCAGGTACGCACTCAATGCAATGAAGAAAGAGGAGTTGTTTTGGAAAAAAGACAAGAGATGCTCAAAATAAAATAAAAAAACTAGATAATATAGTTTAGGATTTTCGAACTCACTACATTTACTTTTAAGCCCATGTAAACAATACATTTGGATTATTTAATCCAAATACATTTCAATCCGTCCATCCGTTTTCTTMCGCTTATCCGGGGTCAGGCCAAGGTGTTCCCAGATCAACTAAGAAACATAGTTTCTCCAGTGTGTCCTGGGTCTTCCTCTGGGCCTCATCCCAGTGGGACGTGCCCAGAACACCTCACCAGGGTGGCGTCCAGGAGGTATCCTAACCAGATGAACCACCTCACCTGGCTCCTCTCGACGTGAAGGAGTGTTACCCCTGAACACATAGAGGCTGTGCAGTCTCTTTCTCTGTTTATGCAGATTCAGGTTTTGGAGCACACTCGGCTGATTGGCTGTTTGGAGGCTGTCTGGAAACAACACCATTGGACCAGCAGGAGATCACCAAGCCAATCTGATGATGATGAGGCCCAGCTGTACTCTATTAAAAGCTCCTAGAATCATTACCTCTTGGGGCAGCTTTAGGATTTGGTTGTGTACAGCTGACCCCCACTTAGGTTGTTTGGTTGTGTTTGTTTGTAGCCAGTTTTGAACAGTTAAAGAGTTCTTGGTACTGCAAACATGTTTTGTTTTTAATGAGCTCTAGGTGCTGTAAACATGTTTTGTTTTGATTAACAATGATTAATATTGAGTCTGGCCAACTGACTTTAGTACTTTAAAGGCTTGAATTTGTATTTGGAGGCATTTGAAGTTCCATTAAAGTAGTTTTATTTTGGTTTGTTTTTAAGTCTGGTTTAGACTTACTTTTGGTTATTTCTTTGGTTATTTATGTACTTGGCTCAATCTAATTTTGTTTTCTTTGTTAAATCAAGTTTGTTAAATTTTTTTAATTGGGCAACAGTGTATTTTGTTTGGTTTGAAGACCCACTTTTGTCATAATAAACCTTTTTTTTTACAAACCCATTTTCTCTGGACACATTTTATGTTGCCACTCCAAACCTCTTGGACTTGGGGTCGTAACAAGGAGCAAGGGAGAGCCCAGACACCCTGCAGAGGAAACTCATTTTGGCCGCTTGTATCCGTGATCTTCTTTCGGTCACTACCCAAAGCTCGCCTTCTGGCTCAGCTCTCGCTTCACCACAACAGACCGATACAGCGCCCACATCACTGCAGACGCAGCACCAATCTGCCTGTCAATCTCCTGCTCCATTCTTCCCTCATTCGTGAACAAGACCCCGAGATATTTCAACTCCTCCACTTGGGGCAGGACTTCTTCCCGGACCCGGAAGCGGCACGCTACACTTTTCTGGCTCAAGACCGTGGTCTCAGATTTGGAGGCAAAGATCCTCATCTCGGCCGCTTCACACTCTGCCGTGAACCGCTCCAATCAGAGCTGGAGATCACGGTCTGATGAAACCAACAGGACCACATCATCAAAAAGCAGAGATGTGATCCTTAGGTCACCAAAACAGATCCCCTCAACACCTTGGCTGCACCTAGAAATGTCTAGGCATTTCAATCCAATCAAAATATTTTGACATGTAATCATAGCTACAGAGCAATGTCAAGAAATATTAACATTGTAGAATATGTATCACACTCAAGGTCCATGGGCAAAATGTGACCTACCACTGCATTTGATGTGGCCCGAGATCTTCAAACCTGTCTTAATATAAGTGTTTGCTGCTTTAAAACCAGCACGGACCATAAACTATATCTTCCATGATGCATTTCTATTATTTTACCCACAAAATGACAGCATCCCATCTCCATGTAGAGGTGCACAGGGTTCAAAAGTTGTCTGTGAAATTTGTTGTGTAATTTCTCCATTTTACTGCATTTTTACTAGCTACTTTTGCTACCAGTACTAGGAAGTGGGGATTTCCCACCTAAAGGTTGTCCATTTAAACTGAAATGCTCCTCCAGTGGGAATTCTTTGTCAGAAATTGGGAGAGTCCAGAAATCAAGATGGCAGCTACTGACATTTGCTTTTAAAAGTAGTTTTGTACTATTAATTTCACATTTAATCAGATTTCTTTTCAGTGTTTTATGATATAACGTGAAAAAAAAACACTGTTTCWATGCATGAAATATTATTTAGAGTTCAATAATTTTTTTGTTAGAGGTGCGCAGCTGTATAGAAATGAGACGAAGAACGTAATGTTTTGTGTTTAGTCACAGTAAAATGTGGGTGTGTATTTGGGCAAGACACTTCACCCACCTTCCCTACTGATGGTGGTCAGAGGGTCCGGTGGCACCGGTGCATGGCATCCCTGCCTCTGTCAGCGTTCCCGCCACAGGGCAGCTGCGGCTACAATGTAGCTTATCACCATCAGTGTGTGAATGTGTGTGTGTGAATGTCTGTGGTGTAAAGCGCTTTAAGGTCCAACAGGGCTTCATAAAGCGCTATACAAGTAAGTACAGACCATTTAAATACAAAACGTCAAAGTTATTTATTCTGGCACTTTGGGAGCAAACATTTCTGACCCTCTGTGAAAATGAGTTTGGACAGAACAAAAATAGTTTGTTCATGATTGTACAGACGTGAATACATACAGTATGTATGTGTTTTTCACATGCACAGAATATTTACACACACACATACTCATGTTACGC